GTGAGCGCCAAGGAGCCGAGGGCGGTGGAGCGGCCCTTCCTGTGGCTGGCGCGGCGCCTGGTGAACGCGGGCCTGGACTTCGCGCCGGACACGGTGGGGGGCGGTTTGGGGGCGGGGGCGGGGGGGGGGCTGGGGGTTTGGGCTTGGGGGGGGGGGGGAGGCTGGGGAGGCTGGGGGTTTGGGCTTTGGGGGGGTGGGTTGGGGTTGTGGGAGTTGGGGTTTGGCAATCAAGGGGGCTTTGGTCTTGTTTTCTGTCTTGCCCTTCTTTTTTTTGGTTTGGGAGGGGGGGATGAGTTTGGGAGAGAGCGATTTTGAGGGGAGGAGGGGGTGTTTCGCTCAACCACTGGGCAACGCTTGGGGATACCTTTGCATCTAGCTTGCAGAACATGATGAACATAGAACATATTTGAATCCCAGTTTAGGGTTGAGCGCAAGAAAAGGGGATGCATCCTGCAACGGGGGCGTGTTCTCTCCCCTCATCACCCGCTGGATTTCAGGCCAAGAAAGCCCCGCTGTTCAAAGCCGACCTTGGCGAGCGGTTCAGCTTTCATCCCCAGGCCCCTTAGGGAAGCAGGTGGGGTCAAGAAAAGCAGGGCCTCCCTTGTTTGCAGGCGGCGTTGCCACAATTGGACCTGAAGAGGGAGTTGTTTCAGCAGCACGCCGCAGACGTGGCGAGAGCGGCCAAAGTGCCCGTGGGTGGATGAGCGAAAGAAAAAGGGTCAGCTCAGAAAATATGGCCTCGAAATTGGTGCCTTTGACAGCATTCCAAGAAGGACAGCCTCAAAAAAAACGAACACTCAAATGTCGGGCATCGATGGTTTGAGTGTCTCATGCTGGGGGGCCGACATGTCTGGGTCCATGGCTTGAATCAGCCGAGCCCTGTTCTGCGGAAACCTCTCGCAAATTCGGAGTCACCTGGGGTGCTCCAAGCTCCCATCTCTCACCCATATGCCGTGACCTAAAACTTTATCAAGTGCCAACCGAACACGGTCGCTCAGCTGGCCCCGTCCAGCTGGCACGCATCCGGGGCAAATGAAACCGACGTGCGAGTCAACTGGCCTTGGTACTGTGGTACTGTGTGCGAGCTGGTGAATCATCGTTGTAAGATTGGTCCATAAGTCTCTCTCTCTCTCTCTGTCGCTCTCTCACTCTCTTTCTCTCTTTGTCTTTGTTTTGAGAGTGCCCTTGTCTTGGGTTGGTGTCACTGGCTGAAAACCATCATTTTGGGGATCTCTATGTTTTGACGTGCCTGGTATGCAATTTGCTTCTGAAAGCTGGCGGCGGCTGAAAGCTGCCAGGAGCAAGGCAGTGCGCCAAGCTGGGGGCCTTAGACCTGGCGCCCCGCACGGCTGGGAAGCTGCGACTCGTGTTTTTTTTTTTTTGGCAGATTTTTTGCCCAGGAACCCAGGAGAGTTCACGGAAGTTCTTTGCACCAATGTGTTCACATGTTTGTTCCATTCCCATGGCACATGGTCCTGGCGCCCTTTGACTGCGCCCTTTGCGGTTCGCAAGGCCAACTGAGCCACGTGCTCAAAACCCGGGTAGATGAAGCTTAGTAAGGGGCAGTCCCAGCCGGAAAAATCGTGGCGGGAAGTTCCGCCTTTCTAGTTCTTGAGGCATGGTTTCTGGGTTCACGCAACTTTTGCACCGACCGGTTTTGCCACGGTTCTGGGGTACGACCCATTTTTAAACACCGAGCGGGTTTTGATTTTGACTCGGCCGGGCTCAGGCCAAGGAGCAGGGCTCCAGCGCGGAGGAAGAGATCCTGCAGCTGCAGCAGGTGTCAGATGCAGCCGGCTCGGCGAGCCGAGCCGCCTCGCGCCCCGAAGAGTTGACGCCCCATATTACTCGGTGGCGCCCAGCCCGGTTCCTTAGCCTTTTGGCCTTTCAGTTTTTTTTAGTGGTGGTTTCCATTTAATCTGAAAGTTAAACTTTTGGCGGGGGATGTGAGGGCAGCCCAGATGAATCAACCTCAGTTGTTGTTCATAGGGGGTGTTCAATCCAAAAGTGAGGATTCTCAGGGACACCCCCTTATTAATATATCGAGGGGCGTTGACTGATATGGGGGTCAACAGTACTTCTCAAGCAACATGTGTGTTTGTGATTTTGTCAGCTCCCCGAAGAGCTCTGGGAGGAAGGTGGGGGCCTAGAGGATTGTTCCTGATTTCTGGGATCCCACTTCCACCGAGCGGGCAAAAGGTGCCGTTTCCCCCCCCCCCCCCCTTGGCGGCTGGGATGAGTGAGCAGATTGGGCCGCCATGCCTCCTGACACCTTGGGCTTGGGCAAGTGTTGCCCAAACTTGATGGAACCCCAAAACCTGTGGTGCATTGCAGCGGGCACCTTCAGAGATTCTGAAGATGACTTCGCGGGTTGTTTCCCTATCTTATTCAAAGATCCCTTGGATTCTGATCATATTGCCATTCGAGTTTCCCTTCGAAGCGACCCATTTCGAGGCCCTGGGGAAGGGATTCTGGCAGGCGCTTGAGAGCAGCGAGCAGCAGCTGTCCACGCAAAAGGCTCAGCTTGTTGGGGGCCTTTTGGGCGTCGCCAAGAAGGGTATTTGTCTGCCCGGGTTGTCTTAGTATGTTGTAGGTGCCCCTGAACATCGGTGGGCGCCTTTTTCGTTGCCTTGCTGAGTCAAGACCCTCTGGATGCAACAGCAGAGAGAGAGAGAGAGAGAGAGAGAGAAGCCAACGACTCAAATTGAATGCAAAAAACCGCTTCCTGTTTTCAGGCCCCCCTTTTGACCTGCGCTTTGCTTTTGCACGCTTTTTGTTCTGCCGCGCAGGGCAGCAGCACATTGCGTGTCCCGGGGCTCTCTGGCCCAACCCTGGGAGAAGACGCAGCTCGATTCCCATGTTTACCCTGGCGGGTGGTTTTCAAGCAGCAGCTTCTGAGTGCGTTGTGGTGGGGCTGTGTAAAGCGGCCATGCAGAGAATCCTTGCACTCGCCTTTTGCCAGGCCGCTGTGAAATGGCAAGCATTTGTTCTGCGGGATCGGAGGCCACCCATTTGGTGTGTGTCACCTTCCCCTCTTCCGAATGGGCCAGGGGATCAGGTGGAATGACCCACATCCAAATCTCCCTTTCGGAGAAAACCCGCCTCCAAACCCTGTGCTGTGAGCTGGATGGTCACAAGTGCCCGGGTCGCAAGTGACCGATGAGCAAACCCATCCGTTGCGCCAACTTCTTCCGCTGGGTCAGCGTGTTGTGCCAGCTCAAGTCTGTGCGCATGACCAAAGTCGGACACAAAAGATGTTAGATCCAAGATTGGGAACCCATATCAAATTGGGCGGAGCGGGGGGCAAGTCTGTAGCAGGTTCTTCCAAGAACTTGCAGGGTGCAGTCGCTTTTTGTGGCTGGCAGGGAAAAGGGGGGGGCCTTTTGGACTGCTAGTAAGGGTTGCACCTATTGCTCCTGCCCCGGGACAAAGATGAGGATAGTTGCACGTGTTGCTGGACAAAGATGAGGATAGTTGGAGTTTGCAAAGGTTGGCAGTTTTGGTCTCAGCATGTGGGTGCCGAGGCTGCAGCAAACCCTCGGCAGCGCCTGCCTCGGGGATGCTTCAAAAGCCCATGGGGTCATGTTGAGCAGGTGGGTACGGCGTCAAAAGGGAAGCAACATGATGCAAGCCATGTGGAGGAGTTGCTTTGAACAGCCTTCTAGCGGACGTCTGCACACGGTTCTTATGTGCATTGCGCGGAGCAGAAGCCCAAGAGTGTTGGTCCCGAAGTGCGCGTTGAGCAATGCCAACACTCGCTTTCTCGCAAGCGCCCGGGCTTCGATTCTTGCAACTCCGAGTCATCTCTGCTTCTCTCCTCTTGGCATCTCTTTCCAGTTCGTTTTCGGTTTTCCCCAGGGTTGTGATACAAGGGAATCTCCCCCTTTATATGGGGGGTTAGTCTGTGGGAAGCCCTTTTTGTTGTATCACAGTGGCCATTTTTTTCCAGCCCTGGTTTTCCCCGTCTGTCTGCTCTTTCGCCAAGAACCCGCCCGCGTTGAAAACCGCCACGCGTCGGCGCGTCGCTGGTGTTCTGCTCGCGCGGCCGGGTCCGTAGGCCCCGCGAACCCGAGGCAGCGACAAGGAGAAGACGCAGATGCTCACCCAGCGCCGCGGCCTCGGCGTTGGGACAGGGGGCAACCTTCTTCTCAAATTGCCTCTGGCCCCCGTTTTCGTTTGGGGAGTTCGTTCTCAGCATGGCCGTGGTCTTTTTTGTCGCCAGGGGCAACCTGCGCTTCTCAACCTGCAAGCTGCCGAATTTCGGTTTTTTAGCGACCAAGGAAGGTTTGCGCCTTTGGAGGCATACAGAAAAGGCAGCCTGCGCTGCCGAAGAACGCGAGCAACGGAATTCGACAAGAGCCAGACATACAAGTGAACGTACAAAGCCTGGAAAATTGACCAAGGCCAATGCTAACTTCAAATACTACATTGATATCGGGACAATCTGGACCGACGATTGCTTTCCCAACTGGCTGTGGGTCAAAACCAATGGTACCATTTTGGGGTGTTCGGTGAATAAAAAACCACCCAATTTTTAGAGCCTTTTAGTGGTTGGATTGAATCGGATGGCCGTTTCCCTGCGGGCCATGGGGGGTTGGAGTGGAAAGCGGCCGGAGGCACGGCGGAGCTATCGGAGGCCTGCCGGGTGGGGAAAGGGGGGAAAGGCCGAAGCAGGAGTTGGGTGGTTTCATGCAGGCAGTTGGTGCTGCAAATTTGGTGGTTTTATGCGGGGAGTTGGTGCTGCAAGCAAAACACCATGGTCTTTTTTCACAGCTGAATTCACCCAGCTGAGACAATGCATAGCTGTGCTGGGTTTGGAAGCTCACCCTGTTGATGAGAACCGTTCTTCCCAGACCGGGCCCCCAGTGCTACTTTTAGACTAGGCCATTTCTTTGCCGATACTAAACTGATTGCTTGCCAACCCCAACCCTAGTCGTATTGGGTACTCCAGGCTGCAAAGGCTGCCCGTCTGCCTTTCTAGCACTGCAAGCTTGCCAAGGTAGGCGAGGGACACACTGACTGTTTGTTTTTCTTTCCCCTGCATTCATCCTTGAAACAACGAGCTTTTCCTGTTCGAAGCTTGTACTACGCCCTATTTACAAAGTTATAATTTGGGCCCTCTTCAAGGGATGAGTACCTTTGCTTCTGGAGAGCTGACCCCTAGCTTCCCTATCAAAAAACACCGTTTAGCCGCTTAGCAAATGTTTATTTCACTGGGGAGGGGGAGTGGTTCCCCCGAGGCAGGGAGTACAAGTCGGTGTAGGTTCTGCGCCAGGCCAAGGCGCAGCTGGCCACGCTTTCGGTGCAAGTGCCGCAGCTGGAGAAGGCCCCGGATTGGGGATGGCCACCATGGCGGCAAGACTTGGCAACAGGGTGCTTCTCCGAAGTCCGTGTTTTTTTGTGTGTTCCTTTTTCTTTTTTTTTGGGGGGGGGGGGGGGTGGTTTGAAGGAGAAGCCCGGAGGATGCCGAGCTGAAGGGTCTGAAGGGCCCGGTGTTTTTTGGGTGGTTTCATGGGGAAGCCCGAAAGAAATCGAGCTGAAGGGTCTGAAGGGCCCGGTGTTTTTTTGGGTGGTTTCAAGGGGAAGCCCGAAAGAAAGCTGAAGGGTTGAAGGGCCCGGTGTTTTTTGGGTGGCTCGAAAGGGTCTGAAGTGGTTTCAAGGGGAAGCCCGAAAGAAATCGAGCTGAAGGGTCTGAAGGGCCGGTGTTTTTTTGGGTGGTTTCAAGGGGAAGCCCGAAAGAAATCGAGCTGAAGGGTCTGAAGGGCCCGGTGTTTTTTTGGGTGGTTTCAAGGGGAAGCCCGAAAGAAATCGAGCTGAAGGGTCTGAAGGGGCCGGTGTTTTTTTGGGTGGTTTCAAGGGGAAGCCCGAAAGAAATCGAGCTGAAGGGTCTGAAGGGCCCGGTGTTTTTTTGGGTGGTTTCAAGGGGAAGCCCGAAAGAAATCGAGCTGAAGGGTCTGAAGGGCCCGGTGTTTTTTTGGGTGGTTTCAAGGGGAAGCCCGAAAGAAATCGAGCTGAAGGGTCTGAAGGGCCCGGTGTTTTTTTTTGGGTGGTTTCAAGGGGAAGCCCGAAAGAAATCGAGCTGAAGGGTCTGAAGGGGTGAAGGGGCCGGTGAAGGGCCCGGTCGAGCTGAAGGGTCTGAAGGGCCCGGTGTTTGGGTGGTTTCAAGGGGAAGCCCGAAAGAAATCGAGCTGAAGGGTCTGAAGGGCCCGGTGTTTTTTTGGGTGGATTCAAGGGGAAGCCCGAAAGAAATCGAGCTGAAGGGTCTGAAGGGCCCGGTGTTTTTTTGGGTGGTTTCAAGGGGAAGCCCGAAAGAAATCGAGCTGAAGGGTCTGAAGGGCCCGGTGTTTTTTTGGGTGGATTCAAGGGGAAGCCCGAAAGAAATCGAGCTGAAGGGTCTGAAGGGGCCGGTGTTTTTTTGGGTGGATTCAAGGGGAAGCCCGAAAGAAATCGAGCTGAAGGGTCTGAAGGGCCCGGTGTTTTTTTGGGTGGATTCAAGGGGAAGCCCGAAAGAAATCGAGCTGAAGGGTCTGAAGGGCCCGGTGTTTTTTTGGGTGGATTCAAGGGGAAGCCCGAAAGAAATCGAGCTGAAGGGTCTGAAGGGCCCGGTGTTTTTTTGGGTGGATTCAAGGGGAAGCCCGAAGGATGCCGAGCTGGGCCGCGTTTTTTTTTCAAGAAGCAGCCATCTCCCGGCATCCATTCGCAGGACCTGAGGGCGGCGCTTGAGAAGCTGAAGGCGGCGGAGGAGGCGCAAAGGGGGAAGCTTCAGCAGAGGGGGGGGGGGGGGCAACAAGAAGAAAACCGGAAGATATGGCTGTGGTTGTCAAAACCGTTTTGGGATCCCATTTTGGTTGGTAGCTAAATTCACCACCAATTTTTGAACCTAGTTTAGTGGGGATTGGGATGTTCATTGGGGGTACGATTTGGATTCTGACCCATGCCATATGGCTGCGGCTCGAAATTAAACCGCCAGGGGACCGCCTGTTTTAGTCATGGGTTCCACTTACCAGGGTTCCATTTTGGGTACCCATTTTTGACCCACAGCCATATGGCTGCGGCTCAAAAGATATGTGCCAAAATGCACCATGGCAAACAAAATGCACACGCAACTAAAACCTCCCGTATGGATTTCTTTTCCCAAAACCGTCCTCAA